CGCGCGTTAACCGCGAAGCACGGCCGCGAATCAGCAATTTCTGGATATCGTCCTAAGTAGAAAAACACATCGACCGAAGAATGACGCGACCAACGGGGGGAGGGATGGGTGGGGAAGGAGGAGAGGACGTGGTGGCGCGCGCGGCTCCGGTTAGGAATGATTTAAGGGTTGTTATCGGAGCGAGCGGAGCTGCGGGTCGGGCCGTCCACGTCAGCGGGAACGTTCGTATCAATTCGAGCCATCCCCTGAACCAGCCTTAACTTCACCACCCTCCCGGACGCTCCCTCGGTCCTGGTTCAGCCTCCCCCGTTCTCCCGGCCCTCTCTCGCATCCCGTTCCAGCCTTCCCCGAGACCAGCGGCAGAGGCATTAGCCGGCGTAGCCGGTAGTAGCCGGGGCCGAACGGCCGAGAGATCGTCCATTCCACTGCCTCCTCGTCGGCCTGCAGCGGATCTATTAGATCGACGCGGAGGCTGCGGCTACGCGTTAACGCCCGCGCGCGCTCGATGTATCGTCTATCTGGTTAGGTTCACGCGCGAGTGCCTCGAGGGGCAATGGCGGGTGATGAATTGGTGATTAAGATGAGCCGAGGCCCCCGCGATCGACGCCGTTAAGCTCTCTCCCTCTCTCCCTCGAACGAGCTGTATGATTCCGATCGATCGATCGCGAAACGCGTGGACGAAGTGTCAGCCGCGATCGAGCGAGTCGCGTCGGTATCGCGACTGACAGGGTGTTTGACAGACGAGGGGGTTGTCGCGATCAAGAGGGTAGGCTGAGACGAGTTGAGGCAGCCCGCGAGGTGGCTTCTCGGCAAAGTACGAAGGGTACATCTCTCAGGTGATGGAGAAGTGACGCGATCGAAGCCGCGAATCGCTCGGGAGTTCTTCTGACGTAATGAATAATTCCCGACGTATCCCCAAGGTCAAGATAATCCCTGGACCGTAAAGTTTTTATAGATAATTACAGCTCCGTGACTGTGGCACTCCGCGAGTTATGAGATACTTGGCCGGAGGCTGCTTTACGCTCGACGTCGACGTACGCGCGAATGTTTCCGCGAACGCGACCGTTACCGGCCAAATGAACGCCGTTACCATCGCAACGATACGCTTCCGCAACAGCGACAACGGACATTCGCGCGGCCCTGGTTGCCGCGGGCGGGGCTGCGAAACTCCCGTGGAGGACGTCGGACGTCGTCGTTGCATCGCCGAGCAATCGGGCGGATCGGGGGCGAGCGACGATCTCGTCTCGTCTCGCCTCGCCTCGCCTCGCTTCGCCTCGCGCGGCACGAACTTTCGAAAACTGGAACTGCCGAAAATTGAAACGGTCGTATCGCTAAGATTGTACCCGTGGCTCGCACGCTCGCTCGTCGCGCATGCCGCCGCGAAATTACGAAACGACGGTATCGCGTGCACTGTGCGCCGCTATATTCACCACCGCGGGACAACAACGTGGCGAAACTTTGGCCCGCCGGCAGCACCTGCCGGCATGCAAACGAGAACGACTCGGAGCATTTCGAATAGTTGAAGGTTACTAATGTCGAAGGCGGGAGATCGCACGAAGCCGCGGCGAGAGGAGGAGGTCTCATAGCGACCGCCGCGTCGCATTTATCGCACGAATGCTTTTATGTGACTGCGGAATCGTCCGACTCACTGAAGTAGCGTTGAATAAATTAATCCTCCGTCCTTGCGCCTCTTTCTCGTTATTCTGCTCCCTCGTTGTAGCTTACTTCCTCTTCGGGATGCCTTGCGGACTGCGTAGGAGGATATTCTTCGTTGAGTCGCGCGACGAGTCCAGCGAGCGGTTGAAGAAAATGGAATGGCCGACGCACGTCTGTTATCGAAGAAAAGTCCTGGGAGTCCTGCGAATGGAAGTGATAATTTTGTGTTTGAGATACGAGATACTGAAAAGCGTTAGTTTCGGTCGGCTGGATTTCAGTGCGAGACTCGAGGGTCAGTTCTGGTTTGACATGAAAGAAACTATCAAAAATCGATGAAATACGACAATTGGTCTTACGCTCTACGCTTGCGCCGCTATTTTTCTGTACACGTGTGTGTGTATGTGTGTGTGTATTTAATATTTCCCTTTACGCGATTTTTTCCGTCTCGAAATCCAGTGCTGCCGGCGACAATCGCGGAACTTTGCGAGAGATCTGCGCCCGCGCGTCGCGCGGGATAAAATAACGAGATCGTAAGTATAACGGAACAACTGAAATATTACCCTCGCTTTTATTCAGCGACGGCAATCTCGTCGGTCTTTGTCGAACGCGATACGAGCCCGAGGCTAATTTCCATGCCGGCAAGCACGGAGTTATAAAGAGACGAGCGCGAGCGAGGGAAGTTGGGCGAAGCAGGGAAAATTACTATAATCAAGTCTATGACGAAGTAATAATTACCTACACATCGCACTGTCTTTAAGAGTCAAAGTACGAGACGGGACTGGAAGGGGATGGCTTCTCCAAACTCGAGGAGGAATCGCTTCGCTCGCTCGCTCGCTCGATGTTGCCCTTAACCTCAACAGCCTGCTGTTGCTGGTCAGATGTCTCACTCGCAATTTCGCCGACACTTCCGTGGTCGACAAGATTCGAAGCGAAACTGTCGAAAACAGAAGTGAAATACGCGACATTGTTAGCGAATGCAACATTCGATCATTATCGAAGACAGAATTGTCCAATATACCTTGCATCCTCACTCACCTTGACTTTTGCAATGTCTTCCGGTCGAGAAAAATTATAATTACCGTACGAGCAGAAGAACCGACGAGGAACGATAGATCCTTCCGAGGGAAGAAGTTGGCTTTAGAGGTTAAGTCGACTCCGACCGAGGCGAACGCGATCTTGCCGAGAATTTTCCGACATCCCTAAGTAATATCCAATTCGACATCGCGCGCATACCCGCGAGGGCCGCCTATTGAATTTATTATGATGCATTTATGCAGATTGATATTAATATTACAGAAGTCGCAGGCAGAGCGAACTAGTGTGTTCGCGCTCGCGGTCGCACTCGCGCATGCGCAGTGGCGACGCGGGGAGGTGCGCGCGCGATCCCGAACGTTGATTCCGTGGGAATCCTGCGATTGAATTCGAAATCATGATTAGTCTGTCCCTCCGGCTCGCTTTTCTCCGAGTCTTCTTGCTCAGCGCACGCCGGTGAACACATGCCCGGTGAATAAGAAAAGTCCCGGAACTCGGTTATTTCCCTATCGTTCCCGTCTGATCCACGCTTGGCTGGCTGAAGTAATGTGTTTCGTCAATTACTTTCTCGTCCGCTCGCGCGTTCGAGTCTCCATTACATTTATTACGCCTCGTAATTCCGCTCGTTCCCTTCCCCCCTCTCTCTCTCTCTCTCTCTCTCTCTCATTCTCTCGCGAAAACGATCAGGATTGATTCGGAAAGACGGGACTCTCCCGACCCCTCGATGACTTCTCGACGGCACGTTGCTGAAAGATATCCGCATAATCGCCGAGGTGATCGATTGTCGGGTAAATTGAGAGGGAGAACTCCGTGATCCGAAATCGCGTTAATGTATAATTCAGTATCGACCACGGCACGGTAATTAAACAGCTCGGTAATCACTTTTCGCGTCATTTTTCAGCTTCATCATTTTTCTTCTCAAGCTTTTTGTCCTTTCGCGTTCAGCATCGAATAGAATAGATACGTTCTCCCTGCCCGATCTCCCGGTTGAAACATATTTGTACACATACTTTTTCCATAACATCGTGAAATATTCATTCGGAGTTCCGACGGGCAGTATTCGCTTTTAATATTTTATAGGAATGCACCGTTATTAAATATACATTCGAGTGCACTTTGAAGCTCCCTGACGTCGTTCGCACGACTGACGCGTCGCTTTCCACCTGCCGCCGCGATTATCGGCTTGATTCCCGGCACTTTCACGTATAGTCGATACAAACAGTCGAGGGGGCAGCAGAGTAGGAGACGAGCGGAAGCGACGTTGGAAAAACGCCATTGAAATTCCCGATAACGTTTTGCGGGCGAAACGTTTTTATTACGCTTTATTAGGCGCGCACCGTGTAAAAGCAACATTTTCGTAATTCGTTTGCGAAACACGCGTGCCGCTGTTTCCGGTAATTGGCGCGCGCACTTCGACCGGTAATCACGACGGGAAAATCCGCTTTTATTAAACTCGAGTCGCCATAACTCAGTCTGCCCGCCGTACGCGCGATACAATTGTTGCGCGGTGCGCGAGCGGCCGAATATAATGCCGGTATCCCGCGGCATCGGCGTATAAATTTCGATCCTTATGGGGCCGCGAATTCTTCATATATTTCAGCGAACGCGCGCGCGCGCGCGGCTCCGGCAGGTAGACGATATTTCGTGCATCGAAAATAGATATATTGAAACATCGTGGCGCGATCATACGTGCCGCTATTGATTGAACGTGTTCCAAGCTGCCACGAGCGGCTGCCTCGGTCGGCAACGTTTGCCGCGAACAACAGGTACGAAACATTAAAAAACGCAAAGACGTAAAGATGGAGGCGGCGGGATAAATCGTGCGCGACCGCTGTGAAAATATATCGTACGCGTACGAACGACGGCAGTAGTCATAAAACACTGACAACCCCCCCTCCCCCACCCCCGCGATTAAACGTGTTGCAGAATAATATAAATATACACGATAAATCGTATATAATTTGCGGTGTGATGAAAAAGAGAAAGAAAGAAAATCGACCGCGAGTCGAGTACGTGCCCCTCTCTCCCTCTCACTGTTGGCTCGTCGTCGAGATTCGATACTAAAATGAATTCTGCTCTAAAAGAATCGTGCGTCGTATAATGCAATTAAATCAACATATTGTTTCAATAGAAACGAACGGAGGCAAGAGAGGGAAGAGCGGAAAGACTCGTTGCGAATTTACCGGTTCGCAGAAAATTCGACGAGCGTGGAAGAGAGAGAGAGAGAGAGAGAGAGAGAGAGAGAGCTGTCGGAAACCGTTCGACGCGCGCGAATATCGGAGGAAAGAATATCGAAGGGTGGAATAAAGAAGTATCGAAAAACCAATTTTATTGAGATTTGCTGCGAAAAAGATGTGCGTGCGTCGTCCGCTATTGGCGCGGCAACGTCTGGCCCGCCGAATGATGGAACATCGCGGGGAAGCGTAATGCGGAATGCGAAAAAAATGGTGAGTATTGCATCTTTTCAGCGATAATACCGAGGGTCGTCTCGTCACCTTTTCCCTGCACGCTCGATCGCGATATCACTTTTATTGCCCACGTATCTCCTGAAAATGCACAGGGAAGCGTGAATAAAATTGTCTCTTAAAAATTTCATCGCGCCCATCGCTCGAAACAATCTGGGGTATGAAGAAGAAAGGGGAGAAACGGAAGGTCGGAGAGGACAATTGAACGCTGTTGCGCGCTGTTGAAATTAAATAACGACAATTAAACACGGCGATATCAGAGCGAGAGGAAAGAAAGAGGAAAAAACGGTTCGGACGGAAAAACACGTTTCCACGATTGTTTCGAACGGCGTCATGATTGCGCACAGGCAGGACGCGACGTACACTCACCTAGCGACTTTTTGATTTCTCTTTATTTTTGTCAGGTGTCGCAAAATTGACCGTGGCTCTCGTACGGCCGTCGCTGTTCAAGCCCACGCGTCTCCACGATTTCCAGGTATTCGTTTTGAATCCATTTAATTCGCGCACTCGATAAAGTGGCGCATTAGCGGAGATGTTTAACGACGCTTCCGTAGGAAAGTGCGCGTACCTCCAAAGATCGTTTACCACCGGCGATACCTTCGCCGGGACGTCGGCATTTTTCGCGCGCCCGTTGATTTCATTACGCCGCCGGGCCGCACGCTCGTCGTACTTTTTGCCCTTCAAGCGCTCGAACACGACGTCGCCGTGGCTCGTTCGATTCGGACGATTCCGCGACAGGACGTCCTTCAGGGACTGCCTCAGGCAATTATCGAGAGTCCTGGAAGCGGCGTTCCCCGCGACCGCGGTGGCGGCAGTTTTGAGGGTACCTACGGGATGATATCGCGCGTTTACCGCGCCGAGATCAATCGGCGACGTGACGTTCGGAATTCTTATCTCGATCGGAACGAAACTTATCCTCGTCGTTGCATTGAGCTCCCTCGAGCTCGAAGGAACCACTTTTGCCGTGGTGACTTCGACCTTTGTGGTCGTCATTTCTTTTTCCTGAGATTGCCTAAAATTAATACAGCCGATTAGTCAATGTATATAGGGGAGAAGGGGAACACTTGGGACAGTTTTGATATTTTGTTTCCTGCAACGTGGGTTTTTCAAAATTTTTTAACAACGACGATTAAGATTGATTTGTTGTTCTATTGAAAAATATAGTGCAAAGTTTGAATAAACTGTCTTGATAATTAAGAATGTTATTGGAAGAAACGATGAAGAAGAAAATTTGTCCCAATTCTCCCCTTTACCAAGGAGAGGTGGGACAAATGGTTGGGAGGGAGAATTGGGACAACAGTAACTATATTTTGATCATTAATATATTAGCATATATTAGTTTAATTATATATAACACGTATAGAAATAATTTATACGTGGATAAATATATATTATTATTAATAAAACAAACTATTATCGTTGCCCGAATAAAACCGAATAAAACAAAAAATAAAATTTAACAACCTGGTGGTCTTAAACAACCTATCCCTAAGAAAGTTCTAAATAAAATAAAACAGTTTTTAGAACAAACAATAAAATTGAAATTATAGTTCTATAAACATAAAAAACAATTAAGCAAATTAGGCAATTTAGCAAAGTTTTAAAAACATAAAAGACAATTTTTCCTCATGCACTTGCTTGCTTCATACGCTTACTTTTCTTAGCAGCACAAACTTCTAATTCGGAAATAATTTGATTTTTAATAGAAGAGTGTTAAAATTCTTGTTTTAGCTGATTTTTGACCTTTGGTCGTTTGTTTGCGTGATGCTGCTTCAGCCAACGGACGAACTGGGAAACAATGTTTTCTTTTTCGATTGGTTCTATGCGTGATGTAGATGGAGCCGAATAATTTCATCATGATTGATTTTCACCTAAGACAAAGATGTCTCACGAGATAAAGTGACTGGTACAACAGGTGTATCTGTTGTGACTAAATTAGGATTATGTTTATTCGTAACAACTGTCATTAAATAATCTTCTTCAGAGGAAATATAAGAATTAAAAGGAAAAATTCCCGTTTGTTTAAAAGCATTTCGAATGTTAAGCGGGGTGAATGCTTTAATCATAGCTGCTGATGATAAAGACTTTTTTAAGAGATAATTGGGATGTCCCAATTCTCCCTCAATGCAATGTCCCATCTCTCCCTTATTGATTTCTTTTAATTAAAACAGCTGTCAAAATTTTTAAGTTAAACATTGGGATTAGGGCATACTTGTATGGTAAAGGTTAACAACTATATATTAGACTATATTGAATAAGTTCTTGTAAAATGTAACTAACAAAAAGAAATATCACATACATTAAAAGAGAAAATATTTGCTTTTGATAGTCAAAAATGATTTAATATTTTTCCTGTTTTAAAACTGTATTTCTTATAACCTTGGTAATAAACTTTTTATAAATGTCATGTAGAGACACATCAGTTGTATTTTACTCCAATATGCATTATCAACTGTTAAGAAGAAAATATTAGATATTCTTCCAACTCTCCCTCACTTTCCCTACAAATGCAGTCCCATTTTTGCCGCAATGAAAGCCTTTGCGAGAAAATGTATATAAGTATATAATGTATATAAATGTATAAATGTATATAATAAGATTGAGAAAAAAGATATCACGTCGACTTTCAGATTCGATTTGCTCGGCGAGAGCGAAACTTCATGTCAAAAATATATTTCAAATTTTCATTCGTACAGAAGATCACTTGTTTCCTGTCGCGTCGTGTTTATACATATAATGCGCGAACACACTCTTTCTTCGATGGCCGAGTGAAAATTCGCTCGAGCAAACGTCCAAAAACGATTGGCGACTTCTTTGAGGACAAACTACGTAATCTGTAAATTGGTGTCGTAAAACGTACCGACGAGGTATAATGCGACAGCGACTGTGCACGTCGCGACAGTCGTAAAACTCACGCATAGGTTCGGTCGCGAAGGTAGCGATTCGATAAATTCATCATCCGAGACTTCTCCGCCGCTCCTCCTCCAGTTTAAATCCCAACTTAAATAGACGGCGAGAAGCGTATAGCGGACTAAGTTCGAGCGAGTTTGATTACAAGAGAACGTGTCTCCGACGTGCACTTATCGTCGGTAAATAAGCTGATGCTGAATTGTTAAAGCTCATCGAAGAATCTCCCGTTATTCGCGCACTTACGAGACTCGTGTCGCAGGTGTTTATGCAACGTATGTTATTTCTACTTGTCGCAGATATGTAATTATCGGGGGCAACAGGGAGTGCGTCATTGTATCTGGAGGTAAATCATTTTTGCACGCTGCAATGTTTCCAACAGCGTCCACTTGTCCGACAATTTACGATGTCTATTACAATGAAGTTGAGATTTGGTTCCCATATTTTCCACACAATTTCTGAAGTGTTCGTAAAAGGAAAAAAGGAAAAAAGCAGATCACCTGAGACTTCTGTGTCTTCTTACTTACTGTAGGATCTGCGCGCCGGACTTGACCACATCGAAAGATTCCTCCATCTGGTAATAAGCGATTATCAAAACTCGCATTATTCGGATTAGTTTACGTTTGATGATCGAGCCGTCCGGTTGGGCTTCCTGAAGCAGCATAAGCCTAGACCAGTCGGACTTCAACGCGCCGAAAGGCAGAGCAGAAATCGGACACTTGAATCCAGCAGCCATCATTTTTACAGTGGGCACATCCGTGAGATTAATTTTGGACAAATGATCTTCGATCTCGTCAATATCGAGACTGACCACTTCTAAACAGCGATCCGGTAAGCTATCGATGCATTTTACTGCAAAAGAACGCATCGAACGAGCTTCTTCCCTCAAACTGTTCTCGAGCCGGCGTTCTCCAGAACTGGAGATTGCAAAATTAATTGAAAGCGTTATTTATATCTGCGTTCCCGTATCGCTGACGTTATTACTATCTAATCGTCGCCATCTCTGAATTATTACACTTCTATGTTGCAATATCTCGGTCGTTAACATTTTCAACAAAAAAACACTCGTTAAATTTGTTAATTCCGCTATGACTTATATACGCAAACTCGCAATTAAAAATTCACGAATTAAAGCACTTTAGTTGTTGGCTCGACGAATCGATTCTAACGTACCAATTACCGTCGTTACAAAATTGACAATATACGTCATCATATATTTCGTCTCCAAATTGAAATGCGCGAACGCGACATACGTGCCATCTTTTCCAAGAGCGGACATGTATTAATCAGCGAGTTGCGAGAACGATAATAAAAAAAAAAAGCTTTCCTTTTACGCTTCCTGTGCACGCGAGTGTAAAATGCGATTCCTGTAGCACTTACTGCTGAGAACGATCGTCGCGCAGGAAAGTAGAAAAACACAAAACGGCAAGTGGAACGACACTTCACGCGACATGGTTTCCGCGCGAGGACTAACGTCGTCGCATAACTGAGCGACAAACCAAATGTGTATTCCATTTCGTCTTGATCGGCACTTTTTTCAGGCGCGGCATGTCGGCAAATCGTTAGTTACTCACGTCGCATGTGAAACGTCGCATGTGCAAGGCAATTCGCGCTTCTCTCGTAAAGGGAGAGCCGCACTTGATGCCGCGTAAGATTGCAACGCGATACACGGCCTGTCGGAATGCACCGGCGCATTTCTGACATTGGCGCGGAGAAAAACAAGTCGCAGCTCAAACAAATGCTTGAAAAGATAAAAGAATTCCGTTACTCAAACGTTCTGTTGCGACGAAACTCGTCAAATTCGGCGCAGCTCTACGCTCGTCGCGAATATAATATAATAACACGAAGACGCGTATTTCTTGCTCGAATCCGAGACGAGAATTTCATTCGAGAATTAAACTTCCGTTTACGCATCTGGAATTAAAATAACGACAAAATAAATGATGACGCTCGATGTTGAACGAAAGACAACACATTTTTGTCATATCTGTCACACTCCGAAGCTTAATTTGCGCACAAAGATCTGTGTGTATATAATTATCAGGACACTGCAAAATCGTGTTAAATTTATCGTAACACACTGCTAACGTTCCGTCTACCTTGTGACAACACTTCGCAATAACACAGTCTGACGTTCGTAACACTTTTACGACAAATGTCGATATTTTCACGCGCATCGCTTCCCTCTCTCGCATCCTCTCTCTCTCTCTCTCTCTCTCCCAAGAAATTTTGTCGCAAGTTTATGGATAATTAAAGGATCAATAAACGAAGACGCTATTACCGAGGTAGTTCCATACAGCGTATCTTTTGTTGTTTTATTTTCTGTATCTCGTTGTAGGTATCGCCATCTCAATTGACACACACATACACACACATACACACATACACGCTCGCTCGCACGCACGCACGTACGTTCATCTCTTTATTCTTTCTTTCACTCCCTTTCACCCATTCACTCACACGCTCGTTCTCTTTCTCTCATACGGATTATTGTAATTACGCACATCACGATGTTCCACGATGCGCCGATCCACGATGCGACGTCGACGCTGACTAATTCTCTCTGGCTCTTCGGCATCATTTTCGGAAATGGGTATACACCGAACTACGCACCGCCCCCTTTTCTTAGTACGCGTACATATAAAAATTATGTATAGAATCTACCATATTATAATTACAAAGTAGCTACGTACATATTTATAATCGGCGGCGTAGAAGCAGCGTCTCTCTTTTCCTCGTTCACGGGCGCGACTTGTTACACCGACGGACTTGAGACAAAAGCGACGATTCATGAGACACGAAACTAAAACAGAGACGACTCGGTGACATTTTGGCTGATTCACGTTATACAATCATCTAAAGAATCTGAGATATCACGGCGTGATCGCGCGTTCTGCATGAGAGTGCATTTCCTGAATTGCCAGAATACTACCTCGAGATTACTATCTCGAAATCACAACTTGTTTCTCACGCCATTTCGTGTAAACTTACAACCATTCTTTTCAATGTGGATACGTTTCCTCCCATGTCTACGAAAAGTCAAAAAAGCAATAACAAAGACTCGTCGCGTCACTCAACCACTTGTTAACCGATGTTAAACAATCGGATGTTAATCAATCTGTATTCTCTTTCTCGATATTACAGAAAGAGAAAAGAAAGAAAAATAGTCACATCGAGATTAGAAACAAATGTTCAGTCGTTCACAAAGAGATCTTCGCCGTGTCTCGAGTGAATTTTTATACATTTTTTTCTCTTTTCTCCTTACGAAATAATAAATTACACACGCAGCTCTTCCGCCATCGTCCGTATGCAGGATCTCAACGAGATACAATAAATTTCCATCCCGATTAAGCGTCTCAGAAAAGAAAGAAATTCTAGTTAGGAAAATATGTCCGAGATTAATCCCGAGTACACGAGAAGAGACGTGACCTTCGCTAAATATGACGATTCTTAACTGACGTACACACCTTCTCTGGCGAAAGTAACAGACCGATAGAAATCCCGCTAGAGTATCGTTAACGTAACTATCACGCTTCGACCGCTAATTTCATCTCGCCAAGTACGTTTCCGTTCCTCTCGTTCTCACGCTGAATAGTCGCCATCGTGTCTCAGTAATCTGGGAATTTTGTGTTTGCACAACGTCGTAGCAGCTCACTTTTGCGTATAATATGCATACTATTCCTCTCCTTCTCCTTTAAAATCTATATCTTTATCGCTCTAGCATTATTAATGCACGATCTTCAGAAATATGCTCGCACGCTTAATTATTTTGTATTGTGTCTAGCGTTTGTATCGTGTTTGCTTGTTTGCAACCCTGAGACTACGATTCTACCGCCACGGCGAATCGTGGTGATTATATGTACAAAGAAAATGCTCGAAAAGGTATGAAACTTCGTTAAACTGGCGGGACACATAAAAGTTCAGTTACGTAAAAACACTTCTCTTCTTCCTCTCTCTCCTTCTTCTCTCTTCCTTTTGTCCCTCTTCAGTGAAGCGATGCGCGCGCACGAAAATACTTGCTCTAATACCTTAGTATCGCTAAAAATCTTTCTCTATATCCATCGCGCCGGCGCGACTGGGAGAGGCGGGGGTAACTATGTGATATCAAACAGCAGGAGTTGCATAATCGTCAATGACGGATCGCAAACTTTGTCAAGAAAAAGGAAAATAAAGAATCATCGATAGAATAGCGCGCAGTTCGCAAAATTTGTTACAAAGGAAGGAATAAGAAGGGGAAGGCAGGGGGCGTAGTCCTCGGACAAAATTGAAGACGCACGAAGGGGAATATTTCGCGATGACATTTGTTTCCTGAGTGAAAGGAGTTCGAGCGAGAACTTCCAATAGCTCGCGCGAAAGTATATCTGGACTGCTCTGAGACGGATAAACATCGTCGACGGACCGCCAGGATTGTTTCCGAAA